CCTGTGCGATGGCTCTGACAATGATTTCAAAGCGAGTTACGTCGCCATTCGCCTGGTCCAGCATAGCGAATGGACTATAGAACAAACGCTGTAACTTCATAAAGCAAAATGGCTACTTGTATTTATTGCAGAGAGCGATTCCATCACGTGGACGGATGCGCCCTCCTCTAAGCTTACAGTTGTCGTGCGCAGGAAAACTCTACACCTACCTAGTTCTCGAGCACCACGCGGTAACGCACCGTGCCCTTGCGCACCATGTCGATGCCCTCGTTCACCTTGGCCATCGGCAGCTTCTGGATCACTGGACGCACGTTGTGCTTGGACGCCACCTCGAGCGTGTCCTTCATGTCCTGGATGCTGCCCACGTTGCTGCCCACAAACTTGGCGCCCTTGCCCACGACTTGGAACGCGTTGAACTTGATGTCGTCGTTCGGCAGACCCACCATGATACACGTGCCGCGCACGGATAGGAAGCTCAGGAACGTGCTGTACGGCATGTTGTTGGCGTCAGCCGTGATCAGCAGGATGTCCACCGAGCCGACAGCAGCCTTGGCCTGCTTCTCGTCCGTGTACACCACGAACTCGTCGGCGCCCAGGCCGCGCACCTCCTGCTCCTTGTTGTTGGAGCGAGAGAAGGCCGTCACGGAGGCGGCGCCCATCGCCTTGGCAAACTGGATGGCAATGTGGCCCAGGCCACCAATGCCCACGATACCGACGCGGTCACCCTTCTTGATGCCAGCCTCCTTGAACGGCGTGAACACCGTCGTGCCGGCGCACATCAAAGGAGCAGCCACATCCGACGGAATGTTGTCCGGGATCTTGATCGCGAACTCGTGCGGCACGCGCACGTAGTCGGCGTATCCGCCGTACGTGATAGCGCCGTCGCTTTTGTACTTGTCGTTGTACGTCCACACGCGGTGTGGGCAGTACGCGTCGTCGCCGTTGGCGCACACGGAGCACGGGGCCTTGGGGTCCTTGTTCAAGCATGCTGACACCAGCGCACCGACGCCCACGCGGTCGCCGACCTGCAGGCCCTTGACGTCGGGACCAGCCTGCGTCACTTCACCGACAATCTCGTGACCAACCACGCACGGGTACGCGGTCTGCCCCCAACCGCTGTCAAGCGTGTGCAGGTCGGAGCCGCAAATGCCACAGTGCGAAATCTTGATCTCGACGTCCTCGGCGCCGAGCGGACGGGACTGGTACTCCCAGGGCTTGATCTCCTCGCCCTTGCCGAAGGACGCGTAGGCGTGCACGGTTCTCGGGGAGGTGGACATCTTGGTTGTTGTGGTGGTTGCTTGGGTTTGCTGAGTAAAGAGCAAAATGCAGAATGAGGTTGGGTGGGGTGGCTGTGCGCTTCTCCGGCTGATGGCCAGCGTGACCTGTTGGTCCTGTTGATGTAGTCTAGCTGCACTACATAGTTTTCGGTGGGGTAGTTTGAGCACCAAATCGACGAACTGAAGCTGGTGCTTCGAGAGACATCTCGAGCATTTTGCGTGAACT